GCAACCGGAAGGCTGGTAGTTTGAGCCCACCCACAGGCAGCTGGAAAGACAGGCCTTTCCTGAAGCTCCTGCTATGAGCAGCTGTCCAGTCGGATCTGACCCACAGCAACGCGACGGACCACAGAACACCGCGGGCCCCGCCGTCCTCACAGCCTGTGTTTGAGTCCATGGTAGCGGCCACCGTGTCACCCCATTGCAGGAAGGGTCTTCATTCTCACTGCCCCCCTGCCAGAGCAGGGTCCCAGGCACTGCTCAAAGGACAAGCCCATCTGGCTTGGAAGACGCCCAGCCAGAGCGCTCCTTAGAGGCAAGGGTGGCGACACTTCATCTCATGGACTTGGACATGCTGTCCCCAGAGAGCCTCCCTGCAGAGGACATTGCGTGGGGTCAAGCGGAGGGGCAGCGAGAAAGAGCAAGGCCCTCCAGGAGATGGGCGGACACAGGGGCTGTGGCTATGGGCTGGGGCACGGGCCCCACCACGGCGAGGACGGGCAGGCCCTGGCGCTGTTCCGATGTTCCGCTCTGTGGTGCACGGGGTGGCCGTGGGTCAGAGCCAACTTGAGGGCCCCTAACAAGAACACCGAGAACCAGAGAGGGTACAGTGGGCGACGCACTGGGGTGCTGACTGTAGGGCCGGTGGTTCAAACCCACCCGTCGCTCTGCCGGAGAAAGATGAGGCTGTTCCCTTCCATGCAGATGTGTACCCTCAGAAACCCTTGGGAGTGGGGAGAGGGGAGCCCTTGCTCCCTCCTACTGGGTCAAGGCAAGCCAGAACCGACTGGAGGGCAGTGAGCTACTTCACCAAGCACCCTTCTCCAGGGGCCGGTCCCTCCTGAGAGAGAGCCAAGCAGCGGGGGTGGGGGGGGAGGGCAGTTCTACGTTGTCACACAAGGGCCCATGGCAGGTTGGGACGAGCCAGCGATGGCTAGCAACCACCACTCAAAACAGAACCCCAACCTCACTGCCCTTGAGTCCCAAGAGGACAGGGCGGAACTGTCCCCGCGAGTTTCCGAGATGGCGCCTCTTTTCGGGAGCAGAAAGCCCGGTCTGTCTCCCAAGGAGCGGCTGGGGGTTTCAAGCCGCTGACCTTGTGGA